TTGGCGAAGCAGATGACTAGAACATTCTGATTGGATGCAAGTGGAGGAACACCCCTTGTGGTTCTGGTTCTGACCAGCAAGGCCAGGTCCAGATCCCATGGCCACCTTTTGGTCCCCCAAGTTGTGCTCCCATCTGTAGCTCGAGGGTCTCCATTTTCTCTGCCTCGAAGCCACACCCACTGTGTTGCCACCCCTCAGACACGCGTAGCTGTTCCTGAGCTTACAGGGGTCTCCTGGCAGGCTTGGGATCTGTCTTGGGGCCAGCGTGGGTGTCTTTTCCTCACAGCCCCACGTGGTGATGGAGCCTCAGGCCCAGACTGGTACATGGCTTCCCCGCAAAACACAACCACCTTGGTTCCAGACAGACTTGGGGAAGTGTGTCTCCCTCCCACCATCCCTCCTCGCTTCTCGGTCCATGTTGGGGGCTGAACTGTGTGGTTGTCATGGAGACAGCCCCATCCACAGCATCAGTCTCAAAAAGGCTTAGAAGTTGAGCCCTTGGCCTAGCTGGAGCTGGATGTTGGAGACAAATGTCCCACTGCCCTCCCCGACCCCCTGACCCAGGCATGCGTGGACTGAACTAGCCTTTATTCTCCTGAAGATGGACATCGTGAGGGGAAAGCAACCTTTGGTGGTCCGCCCCAGTTGTTGATCAGACCTCAGGGGACGTTTCTGAGCCCCAGTTAGTTTAAGATCAAGCCGGGGCTTTGGGACCACATGTACACATTTATAGCAGCAATTAAAAAAAAATCAGTGTTTTTCCACCTGCAGAAGTCCTGTTTGACTAGGAGAAGTTTCTTTCATTTCCTCCTATGTGCAGTGTATTGTCACTAAGTGTCCACTGTGGATACTTTCTGGCCACTGAGAATGAAATAAATAAAAAATCCAAATACAAATACAAAAATCAATATTAAAAAAAACAAACAGGAGGCTCTGTGCTCCACCATCTTATAATCCATTAGAGGAGACAAGATTGATTTAAGAAATGGACACTGTAGGCAGTGTGCCCAGGGCAAAGGCATGGGATGCAGACCAAGGAGACACCTGTGTCGGGTGAAGGGCACAGGAGGCACCCGCTTCTGTAGTAGTCAGAGGAGATTGGCTTCCTCCTCGTTCCTTTGTGTTTGCATCAAAGAAATGCCTTGAGCAGCTCCCTGGAATGGGAGTGAGACCCAAGTAGCTAAAGACAGTCGCTAATTGCTGTGCACACGCAGGGCTGAGTTGTTTGAAGTTGCTGGGGGAAAACAGAGGCAGATTTATTGAGATGGGGACACAACTCAAAGGTGCAGGCTAGGAGGGGCACGTAAGGGGAGTGCAGGGCGCTGGTCTCGGGGCCCTTCCTTGTGATGGTGCCAATCGTCAGAGAAGAAACACGCAAACCATGAAGCAATCACGGCAGCAGATCTCACGTGATCATCTAGACTAAGGACCACATTGTGCCTGTGAACCACCCACAGGCTCCCGTCACACTGGCCTGTAGCAGTATCTTTCCAACTCGTGTCTCCATCAAAGCTCTCGCCTCTCCTCCTGATTCTTGGCACTGCCTGAGAGGTCTCTTCCTGATGCTCCAGGTGGTGCACCCTGTCCCCTGCTCATGATTCTTCAGCGGCTCCCCATTTGGCTCCTGCCCACCTCCCTCACATGGAGCTTACGACGTTGCAGCCGGGCCCTTACCCACCTCTGCGCACCCATGACATGACCTCCTGGCCTCGTCCCAAACTCCAGGGACAGCCGCCTCCGTGGCTCCCCGGGTCTGAGCTGAATGCCGTGTCCTCCCTGCCGTTTCTCACCACTGACTGCCCAGCACTCTGCGTCCTGGGGGAGACGCACAGCTTACACTGCCTTTCCCCTGGAGCTTCTGCCTCTTTTGTTTCATGCCTCAGTGGATTTTCTAATAGGTAGCGGCGTAGCGCCATCCTTCAGAAATATGGGACAAATTTACCTTGCAGTGAATCCCAGCTTCGTGGCTTGCGGGCTGTGTGACTTTGGAAAGGCTACTTAAACTCTCTGTGCCTCAATTTACTTGCCTGTAAAGTGACCTCCTTCCCCTCAGAGGGTTGGGAGGATTAAATGGGACACTTGACGGGTTCTTAGGTCCGGGCTGGCACGTCCTAGCTGCTCAGTGAAGGTGAGCACTGTTTACTGTCACCACTGTCAGCTCTTTCTCTGTTCCACATCTCTTCCACCTTTCTTTCTGGCGAACTCTTACTCGACGGTCAGGGCCCAACTTGAGCCTGCCTTGATCCTCCTCTCCCAGTGCAGCATCTGGCAGCTCTGTCCTCAGATAGCCTCCCAACCCTTCTGCCTTATGGCTCTGTAGAGGACAGAAGCATCTGTGTGTCACCTGGGTGCTGGTCGGGGGCTTCTTGAGGCCGCAGGCCCTCGTCTGGCCCCCTTCTAGATGCCCGGCACTAAAGGCTCAGCGCTTCACTCACTGACCTCCCTCCTGGCTGGGCGTCCTGGTTGGGGAG